CCTCAGATGAGGGCAGTGATTCCAGCAGTGGCTCCTCGGAGTCCGAGGTGACATCGGAGTCTGAGGAGGAGCAGGTGGAGCCTGCCGCCCGCAGGAGGAAAACAGTGAGAGCCTGGGGGCAGAGCGGGCTCTGCTCCCTGCCGGGCCCTCGCTGCCAGCTTCCTACCGTCCAGAACACTCCCCATGGTGTCTCTACCCAGCCCAGAACAGGCCAGGGTGCTTGCCTTCCTCGCACCCACGTCCCATCTTTCTCTTGCAGCCTCCCAGCAGCAAAAGTGCCCCCGCAGCCAAGGAGATCTCCCTGCTTGATCTAGAGGACTGTGAGTTTGGGTGGCAGAAGTCTCCAGGGGAAGGAGGCCTGGGGGCTGTGACTTAGAAAGGTCCACAGGGCTCTGGATCAGGTTCTTTTAGGTCTTGAGGGCGTGGGGCGGGGTGCAAAGAGCAGACAGAACACAGCTCCAGGCCTCAGAGGGCAGCAGGCCACCTCCCCATCTGGGCTGGGTCTAGGCGTGCCTCGCTGTCCGTGGTGCTGAACTGTTTGCTCCTTGAGCCCAGGGCTCTGTGCTCAACCTGAGCCAACTGCACTTTGCCTCTCCCTCATCAGTCTTCCTTTCTACCCCCAGTCACCGCTCCCAGTGTCCAGCCCGTGTCTCCCCCCACGGTTGTGTCCAGCAGTCTGGCTGCTGACCTGGAGGGCCTGACGCTCACAGACTCCGCTCTGGTGCCCTCGGTGAGGAGGATGGGGAGGGACACACCTCCGTGCTGCAGCCTGTGGTATGCAGTCGTGCGTGGGGGTGTGATGGAGGTCCTTTGGAGAGCTTTGGAGAGCTTTGTGTCCCCATTGCTGGATGGCCGTAGGTGGGGACAAGGCTGGGACGGGCTCTCTCTTTCTCACTCATTTCTGTCCCGCCTAACTCTAGCTGCTGAGTCCAGTGTCGAGCGTTGGGCGGCAGGAGCTGCTGCACCGCGTAGCAGGCGAGGGGCTGGCTGTGGACTATGCCTTCAGCCGCCAGCCCTTCTCCGGGGACCCCCACATGGTGTCTGTGCACATCTACTTCTCCAACAACTCCGATAACCCCATCAAGGGCCTGCGTGTGGGCACCCCTAAACTGCCTGCTGGCATCAGCATCCAGGAATTTCCTGAAATCGGTGCGGAAGGGCCTTGGATGAGAGTGGAGGGGGAGGTCCCGGGGGAGATACCCTCCTGTGCCAGGCCAGGGGCAGGCTATGGGGACATAGAGATGGCATCTCACGTCCATGCCTGGTGGATAAGACAGACTAGCAAACACACGAGTCCGTATCAGGGCAGGAGGTGTTTGTGGCAGAAGGCTGGGCCTTGGTTGTTTAAGCAGGGGCACTTTTGCTCTTGGGAGGCTGTTTCAGGGATGACTTAAATAGGGATGAGGGTGGGTAAGGGTAAGGGGGCTTAGAATTTAGGACAAAACCAGGAACAGTTTCCAGTGGCCCGGAAAGCCAGGATTCAATAGAAGGCTGGGCAGCTCTGATAGTGGAGGGGACAGTGGGGCTAGGCTGGTTCCAGACCTGTCAGGTGATGGTTCCCTTCCTCCCCATTCCCCTGCCTCAGAGTCCCTGGCACCTGGAGAATCTGCCACTGCTGTGATGGGCATTAATTTCTGTGACTCAACCCAGGCGGCCAACTTCCAGCTGTGGTATGTGTTGAACCTGTGGTGTGGGTGGGAGGGTGGGCTGGACAGAGGCTGGGTCAAATGAGCCAGAGCTGCAGGTGGCGTCAGTGGGGATATGTCAGGATCGGGCGGGTCTGGAAGCCAGGCCCTCAGGTCCGACCTCACTCTCCTGCTGCCTCTCGACAAGGTAGGAGGTGATGGGAGAGGGGCTGGCCTTACTTCCTCTCCCTCTGTTTCCTCCCACCCCTCCCAGCACCCAGAATCGACAGTTCTACGTCTCCATTCAGCCACCGGTGGGGGAGCTGATGGCCCCCGTGTTCATGAGTGAGAACGAGTTCAAGAAGGAGCAGGGTGAGCGCTCCCAGGAGTGGGCAGCGGGGACTAGGGAGAGGGTGGTATATAAGCTGACTCCATACAGGTGCTTGAAAGTGAATTAAAAAACAAACAAACTGATTTTAGAATTTCTGGCTTAGATGGTAAGGAGAATGGTGGTGCCCTTCACCTAGCCCAGGGGTTGGTGAACTTTTTCTGTAATGGGCCAAAAAATAAATGTTTTAGACTTTGAGGGTCATGTGGTATCTGTTGCAGTTGCTTCAACTCTGCTGTGTTTTAACACAAAATCAGCCATAGACAACATGTAAATGAGTTAGTGTGGCTGTGTTCCAATGACGTTTTATTCATAGACACTGAAACTGCAATTTCATATTAATTTCCATGTGTCATGAAATATTAATCTTGTTTTTATTTTTTTCCCAACACTTTAAAAACAAACAAACAAACAAAAAACATCATGGGCCATAGAGGGGGTGGGCTGGCTTTGGCCTGTAGGCTGTAATTTGTAAAATTCCAGTTCTAGAAGAAACACGATCCCTCTTCCCTTAGTTAGTTTTGGATAAGCTGATTTCGAAATGCATTTGGGAAATTGATGAGGAGATATTTTTTTTTTTTTTTTTTGAGACAGAGTCTCACTTTGTTGCCTAGGCTAGAGTGAGTGCCGTGGCGTCAGCCTAGCTCACAGCAACCTCAGACTCCTGGGCTCAAGCGATCCTTCTGTCTCAGCCTCCCAAGTAGCTGGGACTACAGGCATGCGCCACCATGCCCGGCTAATTTTTTCTATATATATTAGTTGGCCAATTAGTTTCTTTCTATTTATAGTAGAGACGGGGTCTCGCTCTTGCTCAGGCTGGTTTTGAACTCCCGACCTCGAGCAATCCGCCCGCCTCGGCCTCCCAGAGAGCTAGGATTACAGGCGTGAGCCACCGCGCCCGGCGATGAGGAGATATTTATTAACAGTATGTGATTGAAAATGTGGGTCTGTGCTCAGGAAACACTTTGAGGACAGAATCAGGAGTGTAGAGGTGGTGATGGAAGCTGTGAGTATGAGGGAGATGACCCTGGAGGGTGGCAGGGATTAATAGGGACAGAACCTCAGGGGAAAGCTGTGTTCTACGCAAGAACTGGGTGGAGAGATAAGAGAACTAGCAGAGGGAGAGGTGCGAGGAGAACCAGGAGAGGTGACAAGACAGAAGGTGCCTCAGGGAGGTCTGCAGGCCACGATGACCAAAGACCTTCAGAGTCAGCGTGCAAGGGGCGGCTGCCAACCTTAGGGCAAGCGGGTCCTTGCTAAAGGAGGGACAGAGGCCAGTTGCAGTGGGGTGAGGGAGACCAAGGCTTGAGAAATGGAGTCTTCCATGGAGGACGTTGGCCATGAAGGGGGAGGGAGACAGGCCATGGACGTGATGAAGGACTCACTTCCAGAAATGATTTTTTGGAAATAGGGAGACTTCAATATGAACAGATTGAAAGGACAAGGGCAAGAAAATGTTGTTAGTTGGGAATGAAGGGGATGGGAGACACAGGAGAAGGGACATCAGTTCTCGAAAGGAGGAGAATGGGGAAGCAGCAGAGGGAGGAAAGAGGCTGAAGACAAGGCTGCTGGCGTGCAGGGGACAGAGGGAGGAGCTCTCATAGCCCAGAGGCTGCTCATGGAGAGGAGTGGTCAGCCTGGAGAGCAAGGGGCCCTGGGGATGCTGTGGGGGACTTCAGGAGCTCTGGCTTGGTCTGGAGCTGCTGCCACAGAGGCGCAGTTGGGAGCCTGTCTGTGCAGGCTGCACATGACTGCTGGACCCTGGCCAGGAGTCTGGCAGCCACCTGTGATCCCTTCATGAGGGCTCAACCTCCAGGGCTGGGAGGGAATTGAACAGGGGTTTGAGGGCCACCCAGGAAAGACCAAAGGGTGTGAGGTCCAGGATAGGGGAGCCCTCTTAAAACTGACTGGCCACCAGGTCCAGTGGCCCAGATGTCTGGCAGGCACAAGTGCTAAATCAGTCTTTGCTCAACGTGGATGAAGCCCTGGGACGTGGGGGTCGGGAGGCTCCCTGAGGGAGGGCCACATCCAAGAGGGAAATATCCCCTCCCAAGACTGACGAGGGAGACTCTGACCTGCCCTTGAGGCCTGCCCAGCCTGGGAGAGCTCGATGGACGTCTGTAAGCAGCCCAGCTGCTGGCCTCTGCACCCACCACGCCTGTGCCCTCATCGTGACCTCTGCCCCCAGGAAAGCTGATGGGCATGAACGAGATCACAGAGAAGCTCACACTTCCAGACAGCTGTCGGAGTGACCATGTCGTGGTACAGAAAGTGACTGCCACTGCCAACCTGGGCCGCGTCCCTTGTGGGACAGCCAATGAGTACAGGTACTAGGCCACCAGTAGAGAAGAGACGGGCTCTTGGGGGGACGTGTTTTGAAGGAAGGGCCCCACACCCTTCCAAATCCAGTGCCTTAGCAGCTCCCCACCTTTTTTTCTGTTCTCACCCAGGTTTGCAGGGAGGACGCTGACCAGCGGGAGTCTGGTCCTGCTGACCCTGGACGCCCGGCCAGCTGGAGCTGCTCAGCTGACCGTCAACAGTGAGAAAATGGTGATTGGCACCATGCTGGTGAAGGATGTGACACAGGCTCTGACCCAGTGACTCCCAAGTGCTGTGACCTCTTTGGCCTCCACCCAAGCCTCCCCCATGACATCTGGGCTATGAGTCCCTCTCACTCACCTTCCCTATCTCTCATCAGCCTGCTCATGCCAGATAGCATCGAGGGGTCCTCTCTGCCTCTGGTCATTGCCAGGCCCCTCCTCCAGTCCCCTCCCCATGAGTTCCTTAGTGACCTGTGCAGAGGGAGATGGCAGCTGCTCCCTTCAGACCTCCCAGTTTCTGTAGCTATTTACGTAGCAAAGCCTCAATAAAATGCCTTCTCCCCAGAGGCTGGCTCACCTCACCTTCTAAGGGGGTTGGGGGAGCCTGCTAAGGGTGACTGTGTTTGGCCCTGTGACCTTGCGGGGCTATGATTGACTCAGGAGCAACTCTGGCTGGATCCCCAAGGTTACTGTCTCCAGGACAGGGTGCCTAGGAGGCTTTAGGCATCTCCAGGGAAGAGACATCTGAGCAGGGATGGGGAGGCCAAATAGGAAGAACCCCTTGGTCCTTTTCGGAAGCCTCTGCAAAAGCAAGTCCTCTTCAATGGCTGGCAGACCGCCTGGTCACCTTGTGGGCCCTTGGGAAGGAATGACTCCTAATATGGGGAATTCCTCAAAAAGGTGCTCAGTTCAAAATATGTTAACTACATCTGAATGTAGGGTGTGGTGGAGGCCCCAACCTGGCTGGTAGGATGACCCACCTGGCCGTCTTAGAGGGAGAAAAGAGAAGATGTGCAACTGTGCTTCTCAAACCACCTTGTGTCGAGTCACCTGGGCATCTGTGGATTCTGCTCAGTCGGTCTGGGTGGGGCTGGGATTCTGCATTTCTAACAAGGTACCAGCAGCTGCTGCTGCTCCATGTACACACTTGAGCAGTGAGGAGTCTCCACACCTAGGATGAACCTGGTGGGTGCAGTGAGGGTCAGGACCTTCCCTGACACCTGTCCTGGTGAGAAGAGAGGCTGAGTGGTCACCGGTTCCAAAAGGTATAAAAGGCATTTTGATGTGTTCTGCCAAAAAAAAAAAAAAAGAAAAGTCTGTGATCAAATACATTTAGGAATCTTGAATGTCAGTGAAACAGTTCATTTCCCACAAGGCTTCTCAGAGAATTGACTATGCTAATGTGCATTGTGACCACCTCTCCCTTTTGAGGGGCTAGAGCTTGCAGATCCCCAAACTTGGGGATGTAGAATGATGTAGAATGCGTTTCCCACAGAACTTGATGTAGAATGCGTTTCCCACAGAACATCTTGATTGACCGGGTTGCAAGGAGCACAATCCAGTGATAGTCTGAGAGGTGGTGCCTGAGCCTCTGATCCTCCGTGACCAGGACTTTAGTTCTTTGGCCTTACGTCCCCACAGCCCTGCCACTTCTGCACCCCTGGGCAAGTCTGTTCATGAGCAAGACAGGGAAGCAGGTGTTCTCCCTCAAGGAGGGAGAACAAAGGCAGTGGCAGGGGACAGCCCTGCCTCTGGCTCTGGGGATTTACTAGGCACGGTGGCACCAGGGAGCAGCTGGAGTTGCTGCTTCCCTGAGAGCTGATCCCCAAAGTCTCCCTGGAATCAGTGTTTGTCACTGCAGGTTCCGAGATGGCACTGATCCGCTAGTCAAGATCCACTCGAACAGTGGACTCGTTCTCACTTCTGCCTCTGAATCAGCACTGCCCATGGCACTGAGAAAGAGGGTGGGGCCATTTCCTAAGAAATTTGAACAATGACCATCAGAGAATTCTTTACCTGCCTTTATTCTGCATCAAAGCCCCCCACATGGATTCTGTAGGTAGGAACCAGAAGTGCAGAAGACAGGTCCCTTAACATTCTTCAAGTGGCTCACAGTCGAGGTTCCCAGAACCTCCTGGAAAGGGCACCAGCATCTCCAGGCCGGAGTGAGAGTGCGGAGAGCCGGAGACTTTGGCAGCAGCTCTGTGTTGATGTCTCTGGCACGTGTCCCAGGCTTTGGGATTAGCAATAACAGCTCTTCATAAGGAAACAGTTCCGGTGCTGGCTGCAGGGGACAGGCAGGAAATAGGAGAGCAAGATTGGGGGGGGGTGACTCTGCGCTGGACAGGAGGAGCCCAGGTGGAAGGGCTGCATTGCCCGGTAGCAATTTCCTACCCAGGCAGGGGTGGCAAGAAAAGCTTCATCTTTCCTTGCTTGCACCCCTTTTAATGAAAGGATTTGTTCTGTAAAATTTGGATTTAGTCAAATGCCACACTTAAGGACCTAGAAGGCCATATGTGCCTTAAGGCAGCAGGCTCTCCACCCCTGGCACCTGCCCCAGTTCTCAGCCCAGCCCAGCCCATTTCTTCTAAGGCTCTAGGTCTAAAGCCATACCCCCCCCACGGCCCTGCCACATCAGTGTCCCTGAGTGAGTCTCCAGGGATAAGACAGGGGCCTGCCTAGCACACACAGGTAAAAGTAAGTCAGACGTGCACAGGCTGAGCTGTCCCTACTTCCTCCCACAGCATTGTTTTCCCAGCCCATATGACATCCTATATGTTGTTACTGGCCCAGGTCTTTGTCACTGTGGTGACGCTATGTCTTCAGGGCCTTCACGGACTGGTCACAGGCTGCCTGGATCTCAGCTGACAGGGAAATGCCTCCCTGGAGCAGTATTGATGGGGCAGCCAAGGAGCTAGCCCAGCACCACAGGGCAGACTGGAGAACAGGTTGGCAACAGTTCAGAAAGAATGCTTCCCGTCTTTCCAGGCCCTGAATACATTCTGCCCCTGTCTTTGGGACCATTTTAAAAAAACTTTAAGTTTTAGTATTTATATTTATGAATTTATTTGCTAAGTTCTGGGTTAATTAAAATATAAATTTATGAATGTATACATTTACATAATTTATAAATGTCTGAATGTTTAAGTATAATGGTCCCACTAAAAATTATACAAATCACAGGTGTACAACTTAAGATTTCGTAGCATGAATAACCCATGTAAACAACATCAGATCAAGAAGCAGCGTGACAGCACACCTTCCTCTTGCCTCCCTCCAGTTTAGGGCAGCGTTTTATTTTGCTCAGAGATTACAGAGCCCTGAAATATTGAGCCCTGTTGAACTGTTGTTCAACACCAGACTCCAAATGGCAGTGGGATCTCACAAAGCCAGCATGGACTTGTGTCTAACCATGCCAACACACTGGCACAGGCTTCTCTCTGGGCTGCTAGAGATGTGTTGCCAATAACCCCCACAGCAGGGGTGTGGGGTGTGGAGATAATCAGGGTTGTCATCTTATTTTTGGCTAGGGCAGCATGTAAGGGAACAGCTCTAGGGAAGAAGGAATTCTTGAGAGCTTGGGCAAGGTGACCTTATCTAGTCCTTGATGTGCTGGGGCCCCAGCATCTGCACCTCCAGACGGAAGTCAGGGAGAGGTGGGGTTGGTGCTTCTCCTGGGGACCAACGCAAGACTGAGAGCCTGGACTCCAGACCCTCCTGACAAGAAGAGCTGCATCTTCTCAAGTACATCTCTAAACGTCTCAATTTCCCCAGCAGAACAAAGGGGATGGCCTCTCTAGGCGTCCACCAGCCAGCACCCATCTTCAGCCTCCAAATCAGCACCCAGTGGTCCCTGCTTCCCAGGATTTGCACCCTTGAATCATCCCCCCTCCCACATTTTTATCATGGATGTGTGTGTGTGGATAATAGGATGTAAGTGATAGTATGCCATTTCTGGGATTAGGTTATAAAAGTCTTCGTACCTCCACCTCAGTTGGGGCTCCCTGCCTCATATTTGCTCTGGAGGCCAGCTGCCATGTCTGGCGCAGCCCAATGGAGAGGTGACAACATGAGGCTTTTGCAAGCACCCACGTGAGTGAGCTGGGAAGCAGATCCTCCAGTCCGAGGCAAAGCTCCAAAGGGCTGCAGCCGTGAGAAATCCTGAGCAAGAACCGCCCAGCCAAGCCATTCACAGATCCTGACTCTCAGAGAATGTCCGAGATAATACATTCTTATTGTTTTAAGCTGCTTAGTTTTGGGGGTAACTGAACAGCAATAAAAAACTAATACAATCCAGCCTTTGCTCCATCTCTTAGGGTGCTGGAAAAGTCCTCAGAGGTTGCCTGGGTCACCAGCTCTGGTCTTCAGAGCACTTTGCTCACACACTCAGTGTCTGAGTGGCACGACTGTGTTGCTCAGACTGGCACATGAGGGCTGACTGGTAGTAACACTTTCAGGAATTTTGTGAGCCGCATGATGTCACACTGATAGTTTGAAATCACCCTGGCAGGAGTATTTATGCCATGCAAAGAGGTGAGTACTACAAATCCCTTCCCTCCCCCAGGCAAATGTCAAACATCTGCCAGCACATCACTGCCCTTGATTATACCCTTCTCTGGCTCTTTAAGCAATTGCAATGTATTTCAAGTTTAAAGAATAAAATATCCGTGTACTGATCATTCAACTTAAGAATCAAAGCCCTTATCAGTTCACCCTCATTTCATGAGTTCTTCCTTTCCCACCAGAAATAAATCATCATTCTGAATTTTCTGTTTATCAATGCCATGTATTTTTTACATAGATTTGTTCCTGAACGGTACATAGCAATGTACTTTTTGATAGTAGCATACTGCATGTTTTAAAATTCTATATAAATGGCATCTTAGAGTACGTATTCTCCTACATCTTGCCCTTTTCACTGTATTGTTTCCGAGTCATAGTGACATGACTAGCTTTATTTCATTTACTTATATATAGTATTCCATTGTATGACTATACCATAATTTATTGATCCATTCTCTCCTGTTTGTGGGCATTTAAGGTTATTTTGTTTTGTTTTTCCAACTACAAACAAAACAGCTATAGGCATTTTACTCATGCCCCTTAACATACTTTCCTAGGAATGGAATTTCTGGGTCATAGAGTATATACTTCTTCAGCTTAACTACAGAACGTCAAATTGCTCGCCAGAGTGGCTGTACTTCATATCAAGAATGTTTATAGCAGCTTTTTTCATAATAGTCCCCAAACTGGAAACAATTCAAATTCCAATCAACAGGACACTGCAGAAGTACATTATGGTATATCCATGCAACGAGATACTACCTAGCAATACAAAACAATGAACTACTGCTACATGCAACACATGGATGGATCTTACAGACATGTTGAATAAAAAAAGCCAAAACTCATATAAAGTTCTAGGACAGGCAAAATGGATCTGTGATGAAAGCAGTAAGAATAATGGTTATCTTGAGGATGGAGTAGTATAAAGTGGGAAGGGACATGATGGAACTCTATGGGGGTTCTGGAGAGAGTTTATGTCTTGATGTGGGTGGTGGTTACCTGAGTATGTATGTAGATAAAAAAATCATTGAGCTGTACACTTCAGATTTGTCCACTTCATGCACTGTGTGTCATCCCTCCATGTAAAAAACAAAAGCACAAACCAAAGTGGCTGAACCAGTTTACACCCTCATCAGCGGTGATACTGCTGTTGGGACAGTGAGACTTTTACATTTCGTCCATTTGAGGAGTATGAAATGGCATCCAATAGTGGTGTCACTAGCATTTCCATGGTTACTGGTAAGGGTGGGCATCTATTGATATATTTATTAGCCATCTGGATTTTCACTCATATCAATTGACTATTCCTATCTTTTGACTATTTTTCTATGGAGTTGGGTTTTTTCCCCCTCATCGATAGAAGTTAAATTGTGAATTTCTTATTCTACTTTATGGCTTGTCTTTTCAAGTTTTTATTTTTTAGTTATTTTTTAAGGAACAGAGGTCTCACTATGCTGCCCAGGCTGGATTTAAACTCCTGGGCTCAGGTGATCCTCCTACCTCAGCCTCCTGAGTAGCTGGGAATGCAGGTATCTGTCATTGTGCCCAGCTTTCAAGTTTTAAATAGTATCTTTTGATAAACCAAGGGTTTTATTCTCATGAGGTTGAATTTATCATCTTCTTTTATATCTTGTGCTTGTTTCTAATTTACAAAATTCATCCACAGGCTGAGTAATAAAAATATTCTCCTATATGTCTATATTTTCTTCTAAAAATATTTCAAGTAAAGCTTTTCACATTTATATCTTTAAATCACTTTAAATTTACATGTGGGTATGATGAAAGGCAGGGCTGATCCACTCTCTTTTATCCTATTTAAAAGGACATGAAAAAAACAACACGGTCTGTTCTGTACAGAGCTTGGCAAAACTTGAGCAGAGGCTGTGTGTCCACTTTACCTTGTGGTCTTGAGTTCCAAAGTGAATCCCCTTTCTGCTCTTTTGCAATCAGGAAATTCTTTTCTCTCAGCAATCTCCTCTCTTCTTTCAGCCTGTGGTGGAAGCACTGATCACCTGAGCATATAAAAGACTACAAGGTCCCTCCTGTCCCCCTAGTACATGTATTTAGAACTCAATCCAATCATAGTTACACTTAAAATCTGTCTTGTAAATCTGGGGCTTGACTGCAGAGACAGTGCCTGGCATGAGAACAGTAGCGGGGCCTGTTTGCCCTCGCTACTTCTGCCAGTGACCAGCTATGGGGACTTGACTGAGTCATTTAGTATTTCTACCTCTACTGCTTTCTGCACCTGCCCTATGGACTGTGGACATCTAGTTAGAGGGACTGTTTTTCCTGCATGAGCTGCAAGTGTGGGCAGGGAGCAAGGACTCACGCACACCTGAGCCCATTCCTTATTTGGACTCAGTCGCCTCTTCCCTCACCATCTGCAGTGAGTTCTGGGGTCATTCACAGGGAAGTGTACACATAAGAAAGCTGGAAGTTTTGTTCTCATCTAGTTAAGACTTCAGGCTCTGAAACCAGAACTCTGGTTTGAGTCCTTGCTCTGCCACTTCTAGCTGGGAATCCTTGGGCAAGTTACTTAACTTCGTTGAGCTTCAGTTTCCTCAACTGCAAAATGAGTTAACACAGGCAAAACACTCAGAGCTGTGCCAACCACAAAGTAGGTCCCTCGGTGAAGAGGAGCTATTATTATTACCTGCAACAGGAAGTTTAGGAAGAGGGATTTTAAGCAGCAGAAATTTCTGTTTAAGTCACCTGAAAGATCCTTTAATTTTCTTGTGGCTGGGAACTTTGAAATATGAAAATGCTGTTAAACATGTTTCCTTGGGCACTAATCCAGGTTTCAGATTCTTATCTTGCTCAACTTTGGGGTCAGAGAGAAAGAAAGGATGTCAGGGATCACAAACCAGCTGCTAGTGAGCTGCATGGGGTCCCTGGACATGCTGGGCTTAGCTCTTTCAATTTGAATTAATAACCAAATTTACAATTCACATTAAAGATTTAACTATTTTTTAAAACTGTATTTCCAGATTTTCTTGAAAGATCTGGCTGGGCTGGGACCTCATTCCCACATGGTGCTGGTCAGCTAACCGCCCTTTTAGGTGTGCCTTGGGCCTTCAGTGCTCTTACCCAGCCTCACTTGGCTCCTGTGCTGTAGGCATTTGGGTGTGGCCCCCCCTGGAAGGACAAGCAAGACGCACCACTTCAGAGCAGCCGTCCTAGGCTGCTTGTGGGCCAGGGCGAGGCATGGGGAGGGCTCTGCAGGAAGGTCCCAGTAAAGCTGCTCCTGCCTTGCCCGTGCAGTCATCACCCTGTGGGTCCAAGACTTCAACCATCCAAGGAAGCTTCCGTATGTAGACCTATGGGTGTATGGGGACTGGCCAACACTCACTGTTCTTCAGCCCCCTGGGAGACTTCTACCCTGGCATCTGTCCTCGCCCTCACCACCTTCCCCCCACTAATCCTTCTGACACACTAGGTGACACCTTCGACTTCCTCTTTTTGCCTCACCTCAGGCAGAAACCTAGTTACCTGCTCCTCCCCTTAGCCACGAGATCAGGCCAGCCCCACCAGCCCGCCAGGAAGGCGGCAGCCTCAATTGCCAGGACGCCTTGAGCATAGTAAGTGCTTAATAAATAGTGGTATGATGATGAGGTGACACGTGCAACACACTCAGTAATGCTCTATAAACTCTCGTCCCTTTCCTCCCCACTCCAGGCCCTGGTTTTCTCCCTTTTTCTGTACAACCTCTATCAAGTCTCCAGTAACACCTAAAAAGAGACCTGACAACAACCACCAGCTCCTTTTACAATTCTTTTGGAAGTTTCCCCGCTGTTTGCTGAATACAGGTCCTTTACCACCGGGCCCAGGCTTCCCTCCTGCGGTACCAGCACGCATCGTCCCCGGTCCCCAGATCCAGCCGCTCAGCTCGGTCCTCCCTCTCCGCCTTCGCTGGGTGTCCCCGCCTGGAATGCCATCTCCGCCTCCGCGCCGGCCGGGGCTTCCGGTCCGCTGCCGTTCCAGCTGCCCCGAGAGCCTCTCCCGACAACAGCCCGGCACACGGTGGTCTCTCTCGCCCATGTCCCGCCCTGTCCCTTCTCTGTGAAATTTCTTATCTCGGTCTGACAGAAACGTGAGAAGCACTTTCCCCAGGGGGTGGGGTCCTGATAGCTTTGGAACTTTCTGGAATCCTCAGGCGCCCGCGGCCCCCTCTCCTGCACACGGAGCATCCGGTCTACAGTGAGTACGCCACCTGCAGCCTGGGCTGAGGTGCGAGCGCAGGGGCGCGGGGCTGGCGCCCACACTGGAGCGGTAACTGGGCGGGCAGCAGCGCGGGCACAGGGTCGGCACAGCGCATCGCTGCGCGTCGCGAGCGCTTGCGAACGGCGCGCCTCTTTCCTAAGGTGGAAACTGAGGCCGGTGGGAGCGTGACTTGGCCAGGGCCACTAGGTGAGTGGCGTGCTCGGGCTCGGGCCTTTGGCTCCCGGGGTGGGGGGGCCTTGGCCAGCAGCGGCTCCCGCGGCTGCAGAGCCCGCCCCCGTCTGGGGCCCCGCGCGCGGCCGCCGCTGGCGCTCGGCTCCGGGTGGGCGGCGGCGCCCGCGGCCCGGCCTGCGGGGGGAGGGGCGGGGCGGGGGCGAGGGCCCGGGCGGGGCGACACAGGTGCTTCGCATCCGGCCGGCGGGCGGCTCCGCGGAGCTTTATAAGCCGCCCGGGGTGCGGCGCGGCGTGCGGCTCGCTGCAAAAATAGCGCCCACGCGTGAGCGCGTCCTGGCCGCGCCGGCCCGCCGCCCGGTCCCTCAGTGCTGCAGGGCCACGCCGGGCCCATGGCGTTCCCGCTGGTAAGAGCCGCCCGCCAGCCTGGGCGGAGCTGGGCGGGGCCGCGTCCCGGCGCAGCTAACGGTCCGCGCGCAGTCTCGGCCGCCCTGTGGTCCCCTCCCCCGCCCCGTGCGCGCGAGTCCCGGGCGGGGCGCGGGTCACGTGCCCGCGGGCGTGGGGCCGCGTGGAGGGGTGTATGGCGAGGGGGGCAGGGAGCCTCCCCGTGACTCAGGGCCTTTGGGCTTAAAGGCGCCGCAACCCTGCGGGGGCGCCCGGTGGGGCCGCCACGCAACACAGGGACTCCTGGTGGCCTCTAGCGTATGTCCAGACCGGAGCCGGCCGGACGGAAGAGAGCCCCGGCGCCCCAACACGGCCTTCTGTCACGGCCGTCGCACGTGAGATCCGAAGCCTCCCGCACTGGTTAGCTCACGCTGGGTGCCGAGTCTCGTTCGCGCCCCGCGGGGGCGGGGCGGAGCCGGGCTGCCGACGGCGTAGACCCCCGCGCTGATGCGGAGAGCGCACGACGGCAGCGGGCGCGGCCCCTTTAAGGCGGAGGGATCGAGCCCCTCGTGCTACCACGGGCTTCCCCAGCCCGGGAGATCACGTGGCTTCACACCTTTGAGTGGCGCTGGCGCTGGCGTCCCCGGGGCGGGTTGGCCAGGTAGGGTGCGCGAGGGTGGCCGGCAAGGCTTCGAGCCCGGGAGCCTCGCGGGTCTGGATGCTTTGAGGTGGGTCCTGCGGACGTGGGCGGGGGAGGGGACACAGGCAGGCCTCGGAGATGGCCCCAGACCGTGCTCCTCTCCGCCCTGTGGCCTCGCGAGAGGTGTGCGTGTGGCCTCAGCGTTCCAGTCATCCTTTTCAGTCAGGGACAAGGCCAGGTGCCCAGCTCCGGTGGGAGGTCGGTGGCCTTCAGCTTCGGCCTCGGGTTTGGCGGAGCAGTGGCCTGAGCGGGCTGGTCGCTTCGCTTGACGAGCCAGCTGGTTACGAAGGCTGTGCCTGCCTGGAGTCTCCAGGGAGGGTGGGGACTCAGAAGAGGGTCCTCACCTTCGGTGGTCCCACTTGGCAGCATTCCCCGGGCCTTTCCGCCTCGTGGGTTTCTCTGAGGTCAAGTCGACCGTGGCTCTGTGGCTTCCTTCCTAGAGGCCCTGCAAGGCCAGAGTCTCTGTAAGTGGCCCGCGCGCCCAGGGAGTGAGAACTACCTAGCAAACCTCTGGTACGGTCGCGTGCTTCAGGGTTCGGCGGCTCCGTGCGGGCCTTGCCCCTTTGCACGGTGCTCTCGGATGGGATCACTGAGGTGGGAAAAGTCGGCAGTACAGAAGATGCCAAGTCAGCTCTGAGAAGCCGCGGCTGTCTGCTGCGGGGCCGGGGGTGGGGGGGTGGGGGGAGGCCGTTTCCCTCCGCCCCTAGGTCTCCGGGCTGGGCTCCGATTAATAACGCTGCATTTCTCTGGCAACTGCTTGCTTTGGTCTCCCTGGCTACCGCTCTCCCTCCCGGTTCGCTCCTGGCACCTGTGTAAACGACTGGTCTGCGTCATTTCTCCTTTTGGTGGGAAGGGGCAAATGGGTCGGATTTGGTTCTCTGGAAGACACAGATGTGCCACCTGTCTTTTTTGTGCCAGCTGGAAGGGTGTTTCTTGGGGATAGTTTGTACCCTTAGGTTCAGGTTTTTCTAGAATCGAGGGACACACCCTGGGTTAAAAAATTAAAAATGAATTGAAACAGGCAGAACAAAACCTTGGAAACCTCAAGCTGGTGATTGTTTTCCTGGTTTGTTTCCCCCATAGGTAGAAAAGGAGAGGAAGTTCTGCTTCTGGAGCTCAGTGGGGTTCTGGGCTGTCAAGAGCCCCTAAGGACCCTAATGTTCAGGGCTCACCACCAGTCTTTTATTGTGAACTATAATCCCAGCGCACGGTGCTGTAGAGTTGGTGTTTGTTTGTTTTTTCCCCGGTCACGGTGCTTTAAACTTGGGTAGCCTGGCAGTGGATGCCTAGTTCATAGAAATAGGATGTGGAAGTTGACTACCCTGGATGTAAGTCAGTCTTTGTAGTGTAAAAATACTTGCCTTCCCCTCTCCAAACTGTTGTCTTATAAACTGCTTCCTGCCTAGGCTCCCGTGTGTGGGAGGCAAGCTGTGCCAGCCTGTGCAGCAAATAAAAGGTTAGAGAGCTGATGCATGTGGAGAATGATCCTGGAAATACTTGCAGTCTGACTTAGGCCATAGGCATTTGATACAGGAATAGTTCTGTGGGCATTTCTTTCACTGTGGTACACAAACCAGCGTCCATGAGGCAGAAAATGGAGGAGGATGATAAAGTAGTAAGACTCTAGGCTCAGCACCAAACTTGTTAAGGAGTGACCTAATGGTAATAGTTGCCTTAATAAGCATTTTCACTGGGCACAAGCTGTTAATTTTGTTGTTAATCGTTAAAATGAGTTGCAAACCCAAACCCTGCAGGGGCTTGAGGTAACACAAATGATTAAAGAAAAAGGAAGGGAAATGGCGCCTGCCGAACTGAACTACGGAGTATATGCTTTTCTAAAGGGAGCAGCTACCAGATGATGGTTGCCAAGCAAAAATGTGGGCCCAGAGTTGATGGATCTTTGACTTTTTCTCTAGTTAGGCAGGCAATCTCTATTTTGATGAATTCCCTGACTTTTAAATGTGGCAGGTAACAAACTTTAAACCTTGCATGGACCAAATGTAACATGTCTAATGTTGTATTTGAGGTGAGGCCTAGTTTAGGATCTGTCTTAAGACATCCCTGTTGGATTTCCACCCTATTTTTCACGTGAGGAAACAGTCTCAGAAATCAAGTCACAAGGCTGGTAAGTGATGGAATTGAGTGTGAACCCAGGCCTTTCTGGTGCTGTAGCCCATCCTATTACATTATGTGTACTGTGGTATGTCAGAGGATCCAAGGGGTCATTGGTGGTATACATTGTAGAAAAAAGGTAGTAGTCTGATCATATTTACGGGCAAGGAACCTTAACTACATTGGTGGGAACCTCTGTTGTAGAACTTAGCGTGGGTCTTCTGAAGATTATTACAGCAGTGCTTGATATCAGGAGGAATGTGCTGTGTCTATCATTCCATGATGCGTGTCAGAGCAGTTAGTTGATCCTGAGAGAGCCAGAGGTTTGGAGAAAGCAGGCTCCTCCCACTGTGGGAATGACTCTTCCAACCCTCTGCGCAAAAGACTCCTTTTTCAGAACAGTTACAATTTCCATGAGTTTTTCCTTCTCAGGCAAGTCAATTTTGAAATTATATAATTGTTTATGACCTATACAAGTAAAATGGAGCTTACTAGAATTCCCACAGTTATGTCTCTGAGATTTCCAGGAAGAATTAATAAAAGCTTTTCATCAGTAAGTAGTAGAATCATCTGGGGTGAACTTCTAGGGCATAATAAAATGGCCCTGGCCCAGGAATGAGGGGATAGGGTTTCAGTTCTGGGTAAAACTTGGAATCCTGGCATTATATACAATCATAATAGCGGATGTAAAGCAGTATGTACTTATTCTTCTTGTCTTCTTGTCTTGTCTTGTCTTATTCTTGTGATTTAAAGCAGTAAAGAGCATTATTCAGAGCTTTTGTGAAGGGTTTGTTTTGTTTTTTGTTTTCTTGTGAGAATGAAACTCAGATACAAGCTTGATAGCTTTCTTACCCGGGTCCTGTAAAGGTTTTGGAGAGATGGAATCTTTAAAATGTTACTAGTTCCTAACAGTTTCTTTAGCAACCAAACACTCCGCTATGAGTTCAGTTTGCAGATTTTGCGGGTGTGTGTGTGTGTGTGTGTTTAGGGGGGGGAATGGGGAAGGATAGAGGTGATTAAATAGCTCTCTGCTGATATTTTTGTATTTATATGCTAGGTTTCGTCTGTGCAAGCTTTCTCATTCATTGGTTTTAGGTCCCTGAACTAAATGATCAAATCTTAAAATTATGTTTAGTTAAGGGGTGAATTAATTAGTGGGATTGGATTTCTGGATTTAAAGTTTGGGACTGGAGTATATACCAAACTGGGATATTAATGTTTAGACTCTTGCTGCTTCTACTACTAACTCTGAAGAGTTAACTAACTCATGGAATCAAATAGCAAATTATTTTCTCTGCTATGGAAAAGCTGTGGTAATCTCATCCAGTTCTGCAAATCTGCATTTCCTAGACAGTGTATATACTGTAGTGATTCTGGAGAGAATTTGCCAGAAAGCCCCTGGAACATAGGGATAAGAAGGGGATTGGACCTAGAGGTTGAGGTCAAAGAGGTTACGTAAAGAATTTTGTTTCTGTTGTTTGAACTAAAACCAAGAAGCACTGATTGCTCCCTTTCAATGTTTC